CCGTTGGTCCAAAGGACTAAAAACCCTACGAAATTACATGCATCGTATATTCAGACATATAGACTTGTGTAAAAGATTCTATTAAAAGGTTAGCATATCTAATCACAGTGCGAGGCTGGTCTATTGTTTGGCTTTTACGTACTTCTAAAGAAACAAGTACCGCAATACCATTTAACTTCAGTATCATTTTGGCTATTGTATAGAAAATATATTATTCTTTCTGTCGTGAGAATGGAAAATCGTTTTTGAAAAAAATGGATGTATTAGACTTTGTGTTGGGCTTTAAATATGGCAGTTAACATTGAATTCAAATTTGTACACTATTAAGCACACTCCTGTGCAATGCATTATGGGAAAGAATTCATATCATATATACAATGTAATTGAAAACTAATTATCACACTGGAAATTGCAAAATCAAATGTCAATTTTTTGAAATGTTTAAACAATATTATTGAAGAATGATATATAACTTTTTCCTCCTATATCACCTTGCAAAATTTAGGGAAGAAATAATGATTTTACCGTGGAAACCATTGCAAAAATGTATATTTTTATAATTTTTCATTTGCAGACTCTTCTTTCTCAAAAAAGTTATCCGTTGACCCCATTTTTTTTTATAATTATCAATATTCTAATGACATAAATGTAAATTAATGATATCATGACAAAGAAGACATGTAATCATTTCAGCTCCAATCTTCTTTATGACATGATTACCGGTACAAAATGTGTTTTCTATAATCACCAGGTTGAACAAAGATGTCAGTGAAACAATATTATGTTCAGGATTAATACACAGCAGTGAAAGAGACTGGGTTGCTGCCCTCGCAATGCTACTGAAAAATAATAATAACAGGTTGTCTGTGAACTCCAGAAAATCTTTAGCTTGCAGTAGATTACCTGTGGTTTTACAAAGATACATGGAGCAGTCCACACATGCCGGAGACTTTGCCGATATTATTGGTGATGTGCGAGATTCATCACTGATGGGATTTCAGATAGCTTTGAATTACACCCTGGAAAACTTTGATACTTTCAGCAAAATGTGAGTGTATTTCACAGATATACTGAAATAGACAAATTATACTCAGTTTTAGAAATATAGTAGAAAATAAAATGAAATATAAATGTGATCTCAAGATATGTTCAGTCTAGTTAATTTCTGCACTTTGAATAAAAGATAATTTTTTTTTACTCTATTTGAAACATGTTAGAAACGCACATAAACGTTTACTAGATCATTAAAATATTACTTGGTTGATCATAGACACACCTCTGTTTGCATACAGGTGCATGTGCTACAAATAAAGCAAATACGGTATTTAATTATCAGTGATTGGCTTCTAATATGTAAGTTTGTTTACAGTGATAAAGCCAGTATATATGATTTACTGTGGAAGTTTGTTAATCACATGAACTCAGACAAAGATCTAGACAATGTAAGTATTATATCATCGTAGAAGTAGAGGCAATTGATTGGATGCATAGTGAAACACTTGTGGTATACATTGATGCAGGATGTTTTACAGTGACATCATTGTTGCATTGCACTGTGGGATATGTGT